CAACCTCAAAATCCACTGAACAGCCTAAAGAAGGGAAAAGGCGGTTTTCTGTTTCATAGAACCGTGAAAAAAGGGAGTGGCAAAGATAACACCTTACATCAGCTCTACCATTCAACTAATGTTGAACAAACAAACAAACAAACAAACAAACAAATAAACAAACAAACAAACAAAAACTAAAAACTACAACAATCCCATCCCCACACAACCCCGCCACCCCTCGTTTGCCCTCTCCTCTGGGCTCCTGACTCCTTCTGCAGCCTTTCTGCTGCCACTTCTTGGTTCCTTCTTACAGCTGTCTTTCAGCCACATCCCTCATCTTAGGGTAGGTAAGATCTAACATCTAACCTTCTCGGATAAGGGTGAAAAATCTCGGAGGTCCCGCACGCACGTTAAAGATCCCTTGGTGGTCCAAAATCGATAAGAGTAGGCTTCGGCCGCCAACAGGACAAAATTCAAAGTTAATTTCAACCTTACTCAAATGTTTAACGTGTCCCGCACTCTCATATTTCCTTACGTAGTAGCGAGCGCCGTAAAACACTTACCAAAACAAACAAAACAACCCCATGACAAACAATCATCTGTAACAGGATCTTCACACGACTAAATTTCTCCACAAATCTGTCACTATCGGCCAGTTTATGGGTCACCGCTAAAGTCATCACAATAAATATTATAATCATGCTCAAGGTCATATCTCAGCCACCAATTTGCATTATGTAATACTGCAACAAGAGAATCTATTTACGTACTATATGTTTAACCTGGTTTGTGAAGTAAATACCCCCAAAGGATAAAAGTAAAGTAAACTCTTTCGTTTAAGGTTTTTGATGTTTTATTTCCTTTGCCCAGTCCTATCAAAATGATGTTAGTAGATAATGTAACGTTACGCACATATTGTTTTAGCAAAAGTCAACACAAAGTAATGACAAGGTTAGTTTTATTTATTCTGTTTTTCTCTTCTTTCACTCCTTATAAAAAGATAAAAAGGCGGGTGGTTGGCTGGTGCTCTAATGTGGGTTTTTTCTCCTTCTTTCTTTTCAAACAGCTATCGTTCTTATTTCACTCCCTTCTTTTTGTGTGTGTGTGTGTATTTGTTACTTTTTTGTAAGGCTAGTTTTATTCACGTTGTTGGATTTGTTTGTTTGTTTGTTTGTTTTTTTCTTTCACGTGTTAAAACGTTTTAAAATTTGTTTTGAGTTCAGCCACAACCCCGTCCTCGGCATGTCCCGGGGGGTTCAAACAGTTCGGCATGTCGTGCTACGCCTACCTGGATCACAAGGAGACCTGGGCCGATGCTCAGGTAAGTCTCTTACAGTGGCTCAGAGCGAGATGGGTGTAAAGATTATCGCTTTTATAAAATATCTTATCTTTTTCTATTCTTTTTTGTTTGTTTGTTTGTTTGTTTGTTTGTTTGTTTGTTTGTTTGTTCACTTATTTGTTTTGATGTTTATTATGGTTTGGTTTTATTTGTTGTTGTTGTTTTTTGTTACGTTCAGTGTCGCTTTGTTGGTTTGAAGCCGTTTCGTTTCGCTGATTTTTTGTTCTTGCTTTTTTTCTATTTCCTAACTGCCATGATTGTTTAGTTTCTCTTTGTCTGTTTGAAGTTGTTTCCTAATGCTGTTTTCTTTTTTACTACTAAGATTGTTTTGTTTCGCTTTGTTTTACTGGCATCTTTTCTTCACTTCTCCTTTTCGGTTTGATTGTTAAAAGCGTAGACTTGTATTAAATATTTATCCGAGATCGTGCACTGTGGCATTATTCCGGTTAACTATAGAGTGCCCCATTTGTTTACTTAAATTGGCGTCAAATGAAGGGTAAAGAGAAGGGGCGGGGGTGCTGCGAGCACTCAACAATAGCAAGACAATTGTACTGTTTAAATTAAATTAAATTAAATTAAATTAAATCAAATACCGCAAAATAACAAGACCACTTTAATTCTCTCAGAGCATATGCAGGGCATTGGGAGGGTTCGTGGCCGAGGTCTACAGCGACCAAGAGAACGAGTTCCTCAAGCAGATGATGAGAGACCACGGTTCCAAGACCATCTGGCTGGGAGCTGACGATTTGATCATTGAAGGGAAATGGTACTGGGCTACCTCTGGCACCTCTGTGGATGAGTACTCTGGTGAGGCAGCTTTCTTTCACTTGTTTGATTTGGCATACTGTCCTTCGGGAAGAGATGCACGGTCTAGTTAGTTTTAGTAGAGGTTTTACGGCGGTCGCAACAGCATAAGGTCATATGAGGGCCAGAAGATTAGAGGTGTTACAAGAGAGTAACAAACATACAAAGAAGAAGGGGAGAAAAGGACGACAGATGTTTGAAAGGAAAGAAGAAGCAGACCATACCAGAGCACCCGCCAACCACCCGTTTGCACGGTCTGTAACTGAGATGTTCATTATTATTATTATAGATATTATTATTGTTATTGCTGTTGTATCGTTGTTGTTATTATTATTATTATTATTATTATTATTATTATTATTATTATTATTATTATTATTATTATTATTATTACTATTACTATTATCATCATCATCATCATCATCATCATCATCATCATCATCATCATCATCATCATCATCATCATCATCATCATAGAGACTGGTCTATATAGGTTTGAATGTCCCAAAGTAAGCAGGGGGGACTTTATCACATAATGTAGATACACCATTTTGATCAAAAGCAGGCTATACATGGCTAACGAGTCAATAAATCTTACACCGGCGTCTGTGGTGCAGCGGTTAGGTGCATCGCCGTCGCAAGCAGAAAATGTGGGTTCCATACCCGCGTAGAGAGGGGTTTTATCGAGTATTCGTGTCTGTCTCTGAGACATTGTCTTCCTTTCAGCTCGGGTTGGCCATAACTGGTAGGTTAGAACAGCCCGTCTCCTAAATTATCTAAAATTTGTCGATTGAGGCGCAAAACATCAACATTTGCAATTACAATGCTGTAAAGAACTGACTGTGGGGGATTGGAGGGTGCTCTGGTGTGATTCGCTCCTACTTTCTTTTAAAAAAACATCTATCGTCCATATCTCTCCCCCTTTCCTTCTGTATTTTGCTCTCTAGCAGCACCTTTAATCTTCAGCACCAAGACTTGTATGACCTATATGTGTTGCAAGTGCTATTGATCTTATACTAAAACTATTTTTTTAAACTGACTTAAAAATCAAGTGCATAACGGTAAGTAAAAGAGATATTGAAATAGTCTTCATAAATAATATCATGGTTGTGATAATCATCTTCAGTAGTAGCTGTGTTGTTGTTATCATCACTATCATTGTTGTCGTCGATGCCTTAATTTTTATCAACAAATAATAAAAATCATAGTAATAAATATAATTTTTTTAGCGCATATTCTCGCTCGACACCAAGCCATATGCGCAATATTCGTATTAGAATAATATCTCGTGTATAGTTGCTTCTGATATTCTTTATATTACTCGGGAAAAATAAAGTTGGGCTCCCTCTTTTTCGAACGTGTTGGGCCTTGTGCGCAGACCCGGGGTCACAGTGGGAATCACAGTTGTGTTGCAGCTATATCTTGCAGCAATAGGCAACAGGTAATAGTGGGCATGTGGCATCGCTAAGCATCGGAGGAAGGGGGTGTTAATAAGTTGGGGGGAGGAGTACACTTTACTTCGCTTGGTAGTTTTCAATCCAGTGTTGACAACATGGGCGATAGAGCCCAGTAGTTGACAATTTGGTAATGTTAGTGGGTGGTGGAGCTCACTCGAGTCTTGTCAAGTACATGTATTATTTAATGCCCCAGATTTGAAATGCAGTCCAACCTGCTCAAACTGCCACCTGTAAAAGACAATCACCAGTCCAAACAGCCACTTTCCATTTCCCCTACTTTCATTTTTTCAAAACCATTATAATGGCACTGTGTAAGAAGACTGCTTGTATAAAACGACCATTTTTCTCCCCGATGATTTACAATTTTGACTGTACACGAATGTGGGCGGTATAAAAATTGTAACCTCTTACGGGCCAGGTAACAAAAGTGAGCATTGGCTCTTTTATAATGGCGTCCAAAAGAAACTGGAAAATATAATCACCCAATTATCGTGTAACAGGCTTGCCCTACCCGTTCATGCAGCATTCCAATTTAAAGCTGAATAGTTTTGCATCATCTAACACATTAATATTTCATCTATGTTAAGAGACGCCCGAGATATGGTCACTTAAAATTGACCTTAGAAAATCGGGCTTGGCAAAATTTTGCGAAATCAGAGAAACGCAAAAGTTAGTTTGCACGAATATGGAAGTGCATCAACATTGGTGGAATGGACATGTATTGAATAAAGGTTCATGACAAGCACTGTTCTAATCAGCGTCTAATTGATTGTTGTTGTTGGGGGGTTTTTCTCGCAGACTGGGCACCTGGCCAACCCGACTCGACCGCCTCTGGTGACGAGAACTGCATGGAGTTCAACCTGGAGTCCTTTGGTGGTCATTGGAACGACGATCAGTGCGACCACCACCAGCGCTTCATCTGCCAGAAGTACATTACCGCTGACGTCATTGGCTAGACGCCCTGAACTCGTGATGGGCCTTGATTTGACCTTGTTACGAGTGGTTGGAATACTACTGTGCAATCACCAAACGTGCAGCGATTTTGTCTTTACTTTTGCGTAGAAGGAATGAAATTTATAAAAAGACTGCACATGCATGCATAAATTCTTATAGTACTTGTTATGGTAAAAATTGAGATACTGGAGGTGGGGATAGTTGTTCATTAAAAAAAGAAATATTAATAATACATATCTCCGTAGGAGTATTACTTTTTCATTATTGGTTTGTGAGTTCCTTCTTTTTAGATATCAGACACGAGGACAGACAGCACGAAATGATTATGACCATCCATCCACTCATACAGGCATCCATGATTCATCCTACACATGAATAAACACTCCGCACTAGTACAACATCACTAATGTTCGCACATCTCTTGAAAATTACTTTCTCTGTATAGTTTCATTAAGGGGTGGGGGCAGGGGGGGCTTACACCTGAAGGCTATCTCGCTTATTAGCTCACCAAATTTTACCATATTTCACAAATATAACGAGCACAGTAAGGAGTCTTAAAATCCGCAATCACATTTGAGAAAAAAGTTTCGTTACCATGGATACGGTGGCTATATTGGATTTTGTTGATAGGCCTTACGTAATGAATACCGCACTTATTGCTAAAGGAAATTAATTGTTTTTTTTGCATACATGTTAACAAACTTTAGATCTAAAAACAATTTCTGTTGGG